GATCCAACAAGTTATATTTTCATTCTCTCAAAGAATCAAGAGTTGTTAGAGCTTAAAATTCATATCTTTTGTATTTATTGTATCCAAGTTATATTATTGTTCATTCATCAAATTTTTTTATACTTTATTAGGTAAACACTTAGCCTTTGAGAGGTATTCTAAGTTTGCAATTTTATTAAGTGATTTTGTAATCAAGAGGTAAGGTATCCTTTTGAATTTGTGAGATTGCTATTTAGCTTAGAAAGTAAAGAATGTAAAGTTTCTATCTTAAGCCTTAGAAAGAAAAAGATAAGGTTATATTTTCAATTAGTGGATTAAAATCTTAGTGTGCACAACCAATAAGAGAGGACATAGGTGCTCTGTGGAAAAGGATCGAACCTCTATAAATCATTGTATTTGATTTCTCTATCCATATCTTCTTACATCTATTGTTATTTATATTTGATTTCAGGTTCATTAATTGTTACTGCTTGCATCACATTTTCATCAAAAGTGCTTATTGTTTTAATTCTTTATTCAATTATTTTGAAATCATTATTTAAAAAGAATTTAAAAAAATCCAATTCACCCCAAGCTAACAATAAGTTTTGTACAAAAAGTCATGTTAACCTTTATTTGAAAAACAAAAACTTCATATCAAGCAATTACTTCTAAATTTCTTGCATAAAATGCAAGAAAGCTTTATCTTTCATTCTTTTTTCTATTGTACATGTTAATATTATACTTTTAATGAAAGGTAGTTCAAATTAGAGACTTTCAAAGTACAATTTTAAACTTTTAACTATTAGAGATTCCAATGGTAAAATGTTTGTATATATCATTATAATTAAATGATTTGAAATTTACTTGTGAAATAAATGTATTCTATGTAAAAGTTTTGTAGAAAAAGTCATATAAAAGTTTATTTCAAAAAGAAAAATTCCATCTTAGGCAATAAGTTCTAAATTTTTTGTATAAAGATGCTTGAAAGCTTTATCTTTTATTCTCTTTTTTTATTATACATGTTGATATTAGACTTACAATAAAATGTAGTTTGAATTAGAGATTTTAAAAATAGAATTTTATGCTTTAAACCATTAAAGTGTTCCAATGGAAAACTATTTATATATATCCATCTAATTAAATGACTTGAAATTAAATTGTGAAATAAGCTAAGGTGAATGACAAAATTACTAAGAGTGAGTGAGCAACTATAATAGACAATCGGGTAAAAGATTGAACTCATTAAACAGAACATTAAATAGATTTTTTTCTAAACAAAAATGTATGAACTTTATGTCACAATGGCACTTAAAAGATTAAATATAATTTAATTCACTTTTAGAGGGAAATAGAAAGATAGCTTTTTAAGAATTCTTGATATGAATATTAGACCAAAAGCACTAATATGTTTAAAATATTGATTTGTAAAAACAAATCCAAAAAATATTTCATAGGATAAAAGGATTCACAAATTTTGCATGTTACAGAAATAAATGGCCATTAACATGATGGCACTGAAAAAGGCATCAACAAAATTGTCCTATCCATTCCTGAATTTGCCTAAGAGATTTAACACCTAAACTCATCCTAAAGCCTGTTTGAATAAAGGTACCTAATTTTATGTCTGCTAAAACTAATCTAGCCTTGAATTTACATCCTAAAAGTAAGAATAAAAAGAATCCTAAACAATAAAGAGGGGGATAAGATATTAACAAATAACTTCAGTAGCCAACCTTTATTAACAATAAAGAGAAGAATAAGACTCGATCTTCAATAACAAGCAAACTTTTAAGTAAGTAGATTCACTGCCCAAAAGGAGAAGGAAACAAAAGACTTGATAATAGGTAAAGATTCTAAGTATACGAATTATACAACCCAAAAGACGAAGGAAACAAAGGACATAGTAATTGGGAAAGGTGTTGAGTACAAAGATTATGCAAAGCATAAGGCTAATGAGACGAAAGACTCTAATGCCCATAAGGTGAAAAAAGCAAAGAACAAAGTAACAAGAAAAGCCACTGAATGTAAAGACTAAAGGCTAATTTTTTTTCAAACACATGTAAAAAAATCTATAGATGAAAATAGAAAAAACTTATAACACAAACCCAAACCAAATTCACACCAAAACACACCTCTATCCACATGAAAAAAAAAAAAAAAAACACAATTAGACAAACAAATCAAACATATTCAAACCCAGAACACATCTTTATACACGTGTTTTTTGTATGTGCGAAATCAAATTAGGCAAATGAAACAAAATTGTAAAGAACAAACAAAATCAAATATCTAGTGTTGGATATTAAAAAAAAAGAAAAAAAAAAACAAATGCTCACTTTAGAAAGGCGCCAAAATATTAAAAAAAATAGAGAAAAAAAATTTCAAAATACTAAAAAAGAGCAAGTCGAGAAATCAAATCTTTAGCGACTCAATTAAATGATAAAAACAAATAAATAATCACCAGAGAAAGTCTTTTTGTCGAAACAAAAGAGAAGACAAATCTAAGAAAACACTAAAGAGAGATAAATGATGAGAGATAAATCACAAATAAAACACCAAAGTCATTTTTCTCATTCTTGTTCTCCATTCTCATCTTTCTTTTTCTTATTATTATTATGAAGTTTGCAAGAACTTTCTAAGACTCTAGAACATTCTATCTTTTTTTAATTTTTAAATGATTTTTTTCAAAAATATCTAAAATGTTAAAAGATGATTTTATCCTTAAACAAATTTTGTTTTCAAAATCACCCATTATTATTATTATTATTATTGACATTAATGATCTGTCTTTTTAATATAGTATGGGGATAGCTTTTATAGTAAATATAGATATTGTGAGGCAAAACAACTAGCGGTAGAGCTCAAGCAATGAAATAGGAACTTAATAACATATTACATAATTAAATAAAAACAATATAGTAAAGTAGTATTTATTATTTAATATTATTAGGATATGTTTGGTATACAATATTATAATATAATAAGATAAGATAATATTATGAATATGATTGATTAAATAATATCATCTTATCTTCAGTTTGATGTGTGCCAAGATTATAATGGGATAATTTATTTATTGATCAAAATTATCTTTCCTCAAAGTTTGTACAATTAAAATTATTGATGTAATTTTTAATGGTACAACATGACATATAAATTCAATTTATAAATTAAAAATAATCCTATTCATTTTGAGAGGATTGAATCATCTTATACGAAAATGATAATTAATCATGCTTATAATCTTATTCTTTTCTTTAAATACAAATAAAATATAATATAAGATGATTATCATTATGCGCATTAAATATGGCCTTATATAATTATAACTATTAACATAATATTTTGTAATATTATGTAATTATGAAGTCAAATATAATATTAAAAATTATGATATTATAATTAAAATAATACCTAAGATTACGATATGATTATGCTAAAATAATAAAAATGCCTTTAAATTTTATAATTCTATTTCGATAGACTATTATATTTTTATTGCATTCAAATAAGATTTTAATATTTAATTTTTACTCAAATAAGCTTTTAGCCTTTGATTTGTATCCAAATAAGTACTTAAACTTTTAATTTGTATTTAAATAAACCCTTAATATACATTATTCTTTTATTTTAAATAAGAGTTTATTTAAATATAAATAAAAAATGGGTTTATTTGAATAAAACAAAAATATAGAAATTTATTTAAGAAAAATAAAACAACCTAAGTACTTTTTTAATATTTTAACCATACAACAATGAAATGATACTTTTCCTTTTTTGATTATTTGCTTTTTCGATCTTTCTTTATACTTGTAGGCTGTGTTTGGAAGCCTGAGCTCATCCTTTAAGAAAATCTTGTAGTTAACCAGCAAAATGAAAAGAAAAAAAAAAAAAAAAGGGGGGGGGGGGGGGGAAGATGTAAGCAATTGTCCATATCTGTGATCAAATTCCAGTAAAGCAACATCATAGACTTTGACAATGACAAAATTTCTTTTAACTTGAATGACTTAAAAGCATCTTATATTTCCATTGTAAACGATCCATTTGTGCTTAATCAGTTTGTTGATTTTGGTAGGATGTATAAATTTGTAAGGGTTGGAAATACATAAGGTTTTTGCTGATTATTCTTTTGTTTGTTCCCCGGTTCTTGTTTTTGCTTTTATTTTTAAGAAGGGTTGTTTGTGAGTGTGTATTTCGGAAGTATATTATCTATAATTATTATATTATAATTAATTAATTAATTAATTATATTCGGAATTGTGTGAGTCTAACAAAATTTTATATGAAATGCATATTTTATAAATGATGAATCTTTACAAAATTTTTAAATATAATTAAATAATCGTAAAATTATAATAAAAAGAATTATAAGTAAAAGCTACTCTACATATATGTCACTTCCATTTAAATTGTATCACATAATTACATTTTTTTAAAAATTAACTATTAATTACAATTTAGAATAATCATTAATTAGTTTGTTAAAATAGATAGTCACTATTTAATTATAACATGTTATTGTAATAAATAATTGAATTTTTCAAAAATATGATTATATGATACAATTTGAATGAAAATGATATACACTAACCTAAAGTAACCGTTTCATATAATTTTTTCTCTTACTAATGTTAGGAAAATTTTTCATTAAAATTTTGCTTCCATATCTATTTCTCTTTACACCAATTACATAAAATTGAACAGTTATAGTTTCGAAACTAAATTTTATATTAATTTTTCGAAACTAAATTTTAATTAACTTAATATATACAATTAGATTTCATAAATTTATAATTTAAATTTTAATGTGTATTTTTTTTATTTTTAAATTATGATATTTTATAAAATATAATAAATAAAAAAATTTTCATTTTATATAAAAAATTTAAAATAATATATCAAAATAATTATACTGACATATATATTTTTTTAAAGAAAACCAAAACTTTATATTAATCAAATACCAAATCAAAATTTTAATTTTACTTCAAGAAAATCCTAATCTTAGTGCAGGCCCAAATCTATGTCTCATTCTGGAATTAGTCTTCTTTAAGTCTTAACCCAAACAAAGGCCCATCTACGAATTCTTTTTCTTTCTTTTTCCTTCGTTCTCGGAAAGGAAAGGAAGGGAATAAACAATTCCCTGAAAACCGACGAAAAGAAAAGAAAGAACTTAAAAAGGGCAAAAAAAAAAAAAAAACTTTTGGATCAATTCGAGATCTTCTAAATATTTCGTCTCATTAGGAAACTTTCTCGGTTGATACTCACACTGAGAAAAGAAGAAAAAAATATAACAAATTACATTTTTTATTTTTCTTTAATTTCCACAATTTGATAAATTTTGAGAAGAGAGAAAAGAGAAAATGAATATGTTCAGATTAGCAGGGGATATGACCCATTTGTTTAGTGTTCTTGTTTTGCTTCTCAAGATCCACACCATCAAATCTTGTGCTGGTATGTCCATTTTTCAAGTATTTACTTTATTTTCTTCTGGGTTCATTTCATTTTATTTTATTTTGTATTTTATCAATAATTTGCTGCTTAAGATTAAAAAATAAATGAACTTTTAAGTTATATTTGAATGTGGGTTTTTGATAATTTATTGTTTTGTTTGAGTTGTTGTACAGTTTATTGACTACCCAATGTGGAATCTTGTGAAATTTATTTAAAAGGGCAATTTTTCTTTAATATTGTCGGATGTGAATTCATGTATTTTTTTGAATGAGCTTTTAGTAATTTGAATGTATATGTATGTATATTTGAAGTTTAGAAGAACGGAGGTATGATAAGTTAGGACTTTATGTAATGCTTCTATTTTGGGTTAAGGTTTCGTTAGTTGTTGGATTTAGTGACAATGTTGAGATCAAGCGGTTTGTATTAAGTGGATTTTGGAGGTTCATGGTTTGTTAACTCGGAGCTTGCGAAATGGTGTCTTATTTTGCAAATTTTCCTTCTTTGTAGCAATAAATCTATAGGGATTTATGAACAGGAGATTTGTGGAAATCAAAAGGCTGATTACATTTTGTTGGATTATACTGTAGGTTAGTGGTTTTTATGTCTTGCTGGCCGATGATTTCAAGACGAACATTATAAACTCTGTTTATGATGAGGACCTAAAACTATAACTGTAGCTGAGGTGGTGTTTGGTTTTTTCTAACTCTATAAGGAGTTGATTAAGGGTGGCAATGCCACCTAAATTTAGGCTTTGCTTGGTATGAAGGATGGAAAGAGGTGAGGATGGAAAATTTGTTAATCTAACGGTTAAAATTCATAACCACTTTCCTACTTTATAGCTTAACCATTAAATTAATAAGTTTTCCATCTGCATCCTTTTGATCCTCCCTACCAAGCAAAGCCTTAGAGTTGCTTGATCAGGTTGATCTGTTTTGCACAACTTGCTTATGAGAAAATTTTCTTTGGTGAGATGACTGAAGGATTCATAGGCGGCTAAAGCCATTTACTCATTGGAAGTTAAGGCAGTCGGTATGAGAAGTTAGAGATGCTATCAATTGAGGATATAGTGAGCAAAAGCTTGCTAAGATTGAGTGACCTTATGCTTACATGATTGAGGTTCTATCACATTATGCTGCAGTATCTGGAGCTTTTTCTTCATAATTTACATACACATGTGTATGCTTATATAGCATCTTGGCCATGATTACTGTTATGGGAAAAAAATATAGCATGTAATGGAACTGAAAGAGTAGGAATTGTTGATCCTTACTTGTATTCATAGGCATGCTATGGCCTTTGATTTAACCCAGGCAAGATAACCCTTTGTGCCTTGTCTCCACTGTGCCATTGTGTCTCAGCATTCTACATTCAGTTCTGTCCCACACTCCCTGAAATGTCTTATGAGCTGTTTTATGGTTCTGAATCTTTTATCTATGATATAACTTCGTCTATTATCGTGCAGGCATTTCCCTAAAGACTCAGGAACTCTATGCTATTGTCTTTGCTACTCGTTACTTGGATATATTCACTGGTTACATCTCGCTTTATAACACAATCATGAAACTAATATTCCTGGGAAGCTCTTTCTCAATTGTGTGGTACATTCGACATCACAAGATAGTTCGCAGATCTTATGATAAGGACCGGGATACATTTCGCCATTATTTGCTTATGCTGCCTTGCCTATTTCTTGCCCTTCTTATAAATGAGAAGTTCACCTTCAGTGAGGTATCAACATCTTTCTTCGCAGTTGTTGGAATTTAACAGCATTTTATTTCCATGTAGTCATTACAATCTTGATTCTGTATGTTAAATTTATTCCGCTTAACTTAGAAGCTAGTTACTTTGTTAATGTGTTTATATTAATTATTCTTTAAGAAATTATCAGGTTCTAATATCTTTCAGACTATATATTTTCATATATTGATATTTGTCTGAAAAAATTGGTTGAGCAGGTCATGTGGACATTTTCCTTATATTTGGAAGCTGTCGCCATACTTCCTCAGCTTGTATTGTTGCAAAGGACGAGAAATATTGACAACTTGACTGGACAATATGTGTTTCTCCTTGGGTAAAATTTTCCTAATCAGTTTCAAGTTTGCTATAATTTTATTACGTTGCATGAAGAACCCTTAATTCCTGGCTTTCATTTCCATATAATGTTGCCTCCTTTTGGATTAATTTGGTGGGGAAGGGAGGGAGAGAAAATCTCTAACCAGAGTGTTTCCACTTGATTGCCACTGATTTTCTTTTTGTTGAAAACTTGATATGATTTTGTGTTGGACCAAAAGTTTTGTCTTGAAACATGATTAACTACACTTGATATTTTGCAAGTGCAACTGTTTTTCATCTATAACATTTGTTTTGTGTTTTCATGTTGCTTTTATTCTTGTACATTTTTTCCTGTTGGACTATATTGCTATTACCATAAGTTAGGAGATGAGGCAGGATTAAACCATTATAAGATTTTGAGCAGCTTCATTAAGTTGTTAAGAAAGGCAAATGAAAAGTGAGGAGTTCCCTTATTCTGTAGGAGATTGATTTGATTTTGACCTCCGGCTGCAGTAAGCAAGAATGGGAGTAAACAAGAGTTCAAGAAAGCAGTTTGATCAACATCTTGAATTACAAAAGATATGTTTCATGGAATTGTTTAAACTAAAATGGCTATAATCTGTAACCATAGGCTCCATTAAATTATAGGAGAATTGCAAAATGAGTTGAGTAGAATACATATTGTTGGGGCTATCACAGATGAGGCTGGCATGAGAATAAGTATGTCATGAAATGTTAGGATCAATGTAGATCTCAAAATTAATATCCCTTTAGCCTTTAGTTCTTCTAGTTGTTTTTTTTTTTTTGGGTTTTTGGAAGGCCTAGGGGGGGGGGGGGGGATATCCAGCATGTTACAAGCTTTTGCACTTAGCATTTCACGACATTTTTGCAATATTATCTTTGACACGCCATGAACCAAACTACCTTTGGTTTCATCTCTTTTCACAACCATGGTACATCTTGACTTGAAAGATACCTTAAACTTCAAGACAATAGTGCAGAATTAATCCCTTGGAGAATTTTCATATTGACTCCACTTAGCACCATGATATGTATGCATTTTTTTCTTCTTCATACATCACTAATCTCTGAATGCTAATTCTTGGTTAGGGACTGATATAATCTTTTTATTGCAGTGCATACCGAGCATTCTATATATTGAACTGGATTTATCGGTACTTTACTGAAGAGCACTTTGTCCACTGGATAAGTATGATTCTTCTCACTTTCTCCCTTTTTGTCACCCCTTCTCACTGACCTCGTGTCAGTGCCTAAGGCCATGGTGTATGAAGAATGTTTGTAGCAATGTATCTCTGTGCGTGTGTTTGGGATAATTTATTTTATATTTCTTATTTCCATCACCTTGTTTATATGATTGCTCTCTTCCAGCTTGGATTTCAGGGCTTGTCCAGACGTTGCTTTATGCTGATTTCTTCTACTATTACTTCCAAAGGTAATCACCTCAACCACTCTGAAAAGTACTTCAAACTTATGTTGATGATTGTCATAAATCTGATTATCTTTCTATGGCTGCAGCTGGAAGCACAATGTAAAGCTCCAATTACCAGCTTGAGACTTTAGTTGTGGAAATTTGTAATTAGCATACATAGATGTAATCTGATCTGATTTGATTACCGGTGCTTGGCATTCTTTTGATTTGCCTCTTTGTTTGGGGGTTCTTTTTGCAAGCTTGTAAGCAACATGGCTTGGTTTAATGCCCTAAATACCATTACCAAATACCTTGAGAAATTGTAGTGCATATTCTTTATATAAAAGCTAATCGGATGAGGAATTTTGACTGACAGTTACCATACCGTGGATTCTTTGTAACGTTACTAGTGATATAATCAAGTCAAATTGAGTTGATAAACTGCTAAATTCGAGGTCGACTCAACTTGAAAACTTGAAGTTCGAAACTTAATTTAAGCTCGATCGAGTTACATTTTTTATGCTCGAGCTTAACTCAATAGGTTTGGTAAAATAGAATTTATTATTTAAATATATTTAATACAATTTTGGGATTCTTCTTTAAATTAAATAGATTTTATTAAATCGTCAATTACATCTAAACAAAAAATATTGATAGTAATTTCAAAAAATTATGTCTAACTGTAAATCTACAAATCTATAACTTATGACAGTAACATTATGATTACAGGAGTAATTTTAGGCTATAGTTGTGTTTTTTTTTCTTTTTGAATATTATTTGTGTTTTTTTTTCTTTTTTGAATATAATTTGTGGGTCTTATCTTATTACCAAAGAAAAAAATTAATATTTTAAAGTGAAATAGGTGATTATTAATTAGTAATTTTAAATACGACAAATAACATCATATGAAAAAATTTTAGTAAAAAATTAGTTTGATAAAAATTAAAATATATATTTTACATTTTATATATCAATATGAATTTTGATATTATAATTTTTATATTTTATATATATTAGACACGTTTAGTTACTTGACGGATATAAAATTGTCTAGGAGATAGACTTAGGTATAACCAATAAAGAAGCATAGATTGGTATTGGTCCAAAATAATCCAAATTGATGCATGCTGTTTATGGATTAAACTTCAGCATGCATAAATCTGAACAAAGATAATTTGATTTAACTATCTTCTGCTATTTATTGCTAAGGAGAGGTTTTTACACCTTTGTGGTTTTAACATCCATACAATGAATTTTGTAGAAAATAAAGATTTGTGAAGTGCTCCATGTCATAAGCTGTATTTTTTTATTTTCATTTTTTTCTCACTTTATCAAATTTTTTTCTTTTTTTTTTTCTAAGATAAAGGTTTTTTAAAGTTTAGGGCCTGCAGTAGAAAACAAACTTTTTTATCTTTTATGATCATTTTAAAGATAAAAGTTGGTAAGAAATTGCTTTTCCCGTAGATTGATGACAGAAGTTAACGAGAGATTGATCTGTACATATAAAAAAAGTTAATGAAAAAAAGATGAATATGATGGAAATTGGTGGAAAGTTGAAAAGAGTTGGCGAATAAAAAATAAAGAAATTTGACAAAAGAATGAGTGAGTGAGAATGATTAGAGGAGTTAGGGTACACTTACACACGTGGGAGACATCTTTTACTTTTTTTTTTTTTTTTTGGTTATTTCATTTCATTTTTCTCATTTATTCCCTCTCTATCCTATTCTCTCTCTAAAAAAATTTGAGTCAGAAACCATCATCTTCTATTGCCAGGCATCATTGTTTATAGTTGCCCTAGCGGCGATTTCACTCCATAATTTAGCGATTTCTTCTTTCACTTCTTTTATCACTTTTTCATTTTAAGTTTTATAAAAAAAAAAATCCTTAAAGCTCTAAATCTAAACACAAAAAATTAACATGTCGTTCATCTTATTTGTCATTGCCATCGTTCCGTTACCAAAAAACTAACTTCCTTCCTCCAGTCTTTCTTATTTACATTTTAATCTAATTAATTTTCTCAAAATCCCATTTTATCATGACTCACCATTATTGTCACAATGATCCAACTTACTACTATTCTTCGTGGCTAGCAAGACAATATGTTCGATGTTCGATTATGTGATTCTTTTATATCTTATTTTAAAGTTTTACTTTGGTCATGATAACTTTTTTAATTATAAGATTAAAAAAAATGAGAAAAAATTTTAAAAAAGTAAAGAATTAGATATTTCTCATTAAACTTTTCCTTTTTTTTTTTTTGAAAGATCATGTTATAGGTGAAGCAATTTTTATAATCAGTGTAATTTCTTTTTTAATGAATTTATCTTCTTAGTGCTTATTTTGATTTTTTATTCTCATGCAACATTTTTTGTAAGGATATTTTTTTGAATTTCAAGATTCTTTGCATTTTTTGGTAAGCCTTTTCTCTTTCTATAATTAGTTGTCTTTTAAATTGTTGATAATGATGGTTTTTCAGCCTTTTTTGGGCAAAAAAAGGATGGATTTCTAGCTTCATTTTTATTATCCTCTATAGAAATTCGATTCTCCTACATTAGTGCAGTTATTTCGTAATTTTTTTTATTTAGTCAACTATTTGATTGTCAAGTTTTTTAGAGATTTATTTCTATTTTAGAATATAACAATTTTCTTTTCATTTATCATTTTTTTTTGTTTTATTTAAGTAGTTTCCTAATAACGAACATTACTCTTCCTATTTTATTTTGATGTATTCTTTCATTCTAAAATAAGAAAAGAAAAAGATAGTTGTTTTCTAAGTTTTCTATATGCTATTAGAGCTAATTAACCTGAACCATTAGACTGTAGCCATTTGAGTTTCTATCATGGTTAGTAGAAGTGAGAACTCTTATTCAGAGGTCACGTTGACACCTGAAGGAACAACTTCTGTTGTTGTTCCTAATGTTCCCAAAAGACCAATTCTTCTTATTATTGGATACACTAAAGACATTTGTTGGTGGATTCATGGGAAACCTCCCTATAGAAGACTTGCATGAGAAAGAGATGGACGAGGAAAATTGGCAGCCATCAATCCTAACCACATATAGAATTGAGTTTCTTCAGCAAGGAACAACTTGAAATCTTGTAAAAAATACGCCAACAAAACCTTCAAAACAACTCTACAACCTTTGAAACTAGTTTCTTAGCATAAAAAAGTAATTTCCTAAACGCCTTAAATGTTCAATAGGGAAATACAAAATCTTGGATTATTGATTCAAGAGCATCAGATCACATGATTAAATATGCATTATTATTGACACCTATAGATCTTGCTATGATAGTTTTATTGTGAAAATTGATTATGGTTCTCTCTCATTGGTGTCAAGAATAGGTCCTATTCTAGTTTTAAAAGATATAACACTTAACTCTATTCTCCATATCCTTAATTTAAGTTATAACCTACTTACCATCAATAAGCTTATGAAGGATAGATGTTACATCACCAAATTTTTTTCAACTTATGTGAATTTAAGGAATTAGGCTCGAAGAGGATGATTGGTAGTGCTAGAATGCATGTAGGGCTCTACCTTCTTCAAGATAATGCAATTAAGAGACCACAAAACTCTTGTATAGCCTTAGCTTCTAGTACTATTAAGGATAACCTTATCATGTTATGACATTATAGACTAAGACATTCAAATATTTTGTACTTAAAAAGGTTGTTTCCCTTATTATTCAATAAAGTCCCTAAAGTTTTTAATGTGTAATTTATCAACTATCCAAGCACACTCAAAATACCTACCCTAGTGTTTCTTATAAACCATGTCAACTATTCTTAATGATTCATAATGATATTTAGAAATCTTCAAGAATTAATAATATTACAAGTTTTAGGTGATTTGTTACATTCATTGATGATCATACTCGACTCTCTTAAGTATTCTTTATGAAAAAAAAATTCAAAATTAGCCAAATCTTTCAAAACTTCAATGGCATGGTGCAAACTCAATTCCAAGCCAAAATTCAAGTCCTAAAAACAAATAATGGACTGAAAATACTACAACTCCATTCTCAACCCTTATCTTACCAATCATGATATTATCCATCAAAGCTTTTATGTTGACATTTTACAATAAAATAAAATGGTCAAATGCGAAAACAGATATTTAATAGAAGTAACCAGATCTCTCTTGTTGACTTTCAATGTGTCTAAATATTTTTAAGAAAAAGCTATCCTCACTACAACTTATTTAATTAATCGAATGCCTTCTCGAGTTTTTTACTTTAAAACATCTTGTCAAACTCTCCTTACTTTTTACCTGTAAACTCGATCGATCTCTTTCATTCCCATTAAACTCTTTAGCTATATTGCCTTTATTCATATCAACCTACAATACTACAACAAGCTTGATCCTAAAACCTTAAAATACATCTTTCTTGGTTATTCCAAAACTAAAAAGGCTATAAGTGTTACTCACCTATCACAAAAAAGTTTTATAACCTTATAGATGTCACCTTCTTTGAGAATTATTCATATTACAGCAAGAGGAGAATACCACTCAAGAAAGTCAATTCTTAGCTATTAACTTGCCAATTTCCTAACCAACCCTTTTCTTAGCTATTGACTTATTAATTTCCCATCCAGCCCCTTTAAAACCAAATTAAAAAATTCAACATGTTCAAACAACTTTTGACTTTTCAAAACCCTAAAGTTATGCAAGAGAAAACAAAAGAACTTATAGTCTACTTAAGGAAGCAAAAAACACAAGAAGAAGTAGACAACTATACACAGCTAAATACTAAAATCAACCTGATATAAATCTGTAAGAACGTAAAACTAACACAAGTAATGTACCTGTTGAATTTGAAATTAAAACTTGTGAGCCAGTTGGTGTCCTTGACACTCCTATTGTATTAAGAAAAGGTGTGAGATCATGCACCTGGCTCTTTATCTGTACATACTCTCATATGAAAGGTTAAATCCAAACTTTCGGGCCTTTGCTACAAACTTTGACAATGTGCAAATTCTAAAAAATATTCAAAAAGCCCTTACTGAACCAGATTGAAATGCAGTAATTTTTAAGAAAATCAAGGCATTAAAAAAGAATTGGATATAAAAAATTTTAAATTGCTAAAAAAAAAAAACTCAGTTTGATATAAATGTTCACAATAAAGCACAATGCAAATGAAAGTATAAATAGGTTCAAAGCTAGACTTGTTGCAAAAAGATTCACTTAATCCTATAGGATAGACTATGAAAAAACATTTGCTCCAATAGCCAATCTCAATTCAGTCAGAGTTTTTTTATCACTAACAGCTAACTTGGATTAGCCTCTCCACCAACTTAACATAAAAAATGCATTCTTAAATGGTGACTTGGATAAAGATGTCTACATGAAAATTTTTCTTGGTTTCGAAGGGCAAGACAACATGGGCAAAGAATGCAAACT